TTTTTTTTTGTTGTCTTTGTCGTCGTTTTACCTCTCCGAAGCGTGCTGTTTCCCCCCAAAAATTTTTCTCTTACAAACAAAACTAAATTCAACGGCTGTATAACAAATATTTCGTCACAACTCTCCGCCAATTGCGTTTCTTCGTTTTCGACATTTTCAATATATAATTTTTGGCTGTGGCAAAAATTTTACCCCCCTTTTTTACCCAAAAAATTCGAAAAGGTCTGTATAGTTTTTTAAACTAAAAATTTTAATATTAACTATTAATTTTATTTAAGAATCTGAATGGCGGATGTTACCGAACGGCACTAGCCTGAGGTTTTTTGGTAAAAACGGTGGTTACCGCTGTTCTGCTGAGGCGAAAAGCCATACGACATCAAAGCAGTTACACGGTGGGAGTAAGGAAAAATGGCCGCTACCAGTAAACTTTCGTTTCGGGCTCGGAATCTTGATGCTTCAAAACCGATGCCCGTCTATGTCGCGGATGAGTTACCTGACCTATCCGAATGTACCCCAATTAATCGGGCAGTGGCCCAGATGCCAACAGGAATGGAAAAAGACGAAGAGATGGTGAGTATTCTGTTGGCGGGCATATTGTTTGTCTCTGACTGTCTGCTTGAGAATCTCTGTCGTCCCATTGTACACTAGCATTCTGACATCGGAGTTTCAAAACTGGCTGCAGCAAAGCTTTCAACCATCTTCGGAGATTCCAAATTCAGCTTGGGCACATTATAATGGAGGCCTTAGGACCTCACTCACCTGATCATAGTTCAAGTAACACCGTTCAGCTATTCATCACTGAGTTGTTGGTTTCTATAAAGCAACATATAAGCTCTGAATGCGAAACACTATCATCGAATTGTTGGGGTTCTGTTTCTTAGTTTCTGAGTTGATTTTTTTATAGCCGTGTTCTTGTACTTTTTTAGTCGCTTTACGTACTTCTCTTTCGTTTTTGGACCTCGCGCTGTTCAAATTGGTTTTGTTCTGAAGATGAGCTCATTAGAGGCGTACTGTGTTGGTAGTTGATCCCTTTACTCTTCTAGAACTTAGAGTTTTCTTGTGTCATACGTCTTATTTGGATTTTTTTGGTTGAATTGTCTTTTAAAACTTGCATTACTTCATTTCGCCTAAACTTTAAGAAGATCGTTTAAGTCAGTGTAAGGTAAAAAAGTTTAAGAGTGTCAACTTCAGTTTCTTTTGTTAATAGAGAATCAAAGCATATTCTATATAGTGAAACGGTTCAAGTAGTTGGCTGATTTAACATTTCTTTTAAGGTTTTGTGCCCTGCTGACTTTATGAATTCATTTCAATTTTTTAAGGAAATATGTAACTGTAAGGGAAACTGCTTAGTACTTTTTATCCCCCTTCTCCGCCCACCTTACAAATTAAGATTTGATTCTATGAGTGTATACTGTTTCGTTTTGGTGTCATTTGTCTCTTTACTTAAAATTGGTAATTCTAAAAATCAATGTTGATGGTGGAATAGCTTGGCTTTACATCGGAGTTTTTTCTCTGGCTTATTCCTGTCGATTGGACGGTTTTTTCTTGATAGAAAGGCTGAGGTTATTTCTTAACGGAGTCGAAGCATCAGTTAGGTACTGGCGTGATTTTAGTTTCTAAGTAAGCCTTTCACTATTGTTATTATTACTAGTATTACTACTGTTACTTTTTTTGTTTTTTATTTTTTCAGTTTTTTTGATCTGTAAAATCTATCATTTTGAGCTTCCTGAAGGATTTTAAAGTGGTGCCTTTAACAATTGTTTTACGGTTGTCTAGTTTTATTTTCACCTTAGTTATGTCTCTTTGGTTTACAGCTGGTTATAGAGAATTTCGAAATTTTTTTCTCAATTTGGCTTAATAGATGATGGTATCGACGTATCGTACTATACTGGAAATAGCTTATCGTTACGCTCGTAATTGAAAATACTTTTTTGCTGTTCATTTGTCTTACGCTTTAGGCTGAGGGGCAAAAATTTTTTTTTTCTCTAGGAGAGTGGGTTTTAGGGACAAGGAAAACAGCGCTGTTCATGGGAAATACTCTTTTTCAATTGGAAGTTTTTTACTTCAGGACTGACAGGTTTCTTATTTTTCAAGGCCGAAAGGTTTGATGATCTACTGAAAGAGTAACAGGCTGACAATCAGAGAAAAGTTTTCAGTATTTGAAGTTTAGGTCATCGCAGTTTTTATCTGTGAAGTCCTCCTTAAACTGCAGAAAAAGTAGAATCAATTGTCTATATTAGGACCGTATGAGGATTGGTGAACTTGTCGCGAGATTTTTATTGAACTTGGAGTTTTGTAGAGATTTACAGTTTTTTTGTGTTTGAAAGTCTACTCTGAGTTGCTAAAAATTTTTTATGCATTTCGTTTCAATTCATTTTTTTATTTTATTTGTTTAGTGCTTTCATTCAAAGGTGGTTTCTTTAGTTGGCTTTCTATCTAAAATCTGGTCTAGATGTCTGGGTTTTATGAGTAGCCTGTAAAGCGGTGTATTTAAATTGCTCAGTACAGTAAGGTTAGGAAAATTTGGGTCAAGGAATAAATTTTATCCCTTAGTTTTTTGGACTCTAGGATTGTTGACAAAAATTGTTGATTTGGAAATGGAAAAAAAATGACACTTTCAAATCCTGTGCATCTTTAGCTCTGCCCTTGTCTCTCGATTTTGATGTAGGTTCAAGGTTTTTTTAATTCCTTAACAGGGTGAAAGGTCATTTATAACAATTTTTTATCTTTTGGTCGCGCTGAGTTTTTAAAAAGTTGCTGGAATTCATTGGTGGAAAGAAAATTGAGAATTTCGGCGAAATAAGTACAGGAAGGGGTTGTTGTTTCGTTCCTTACTATTTCATTTATTACTTCCGTAGTTCATGTCGTTCTTATTGCCTGTAAAAAGGAAGCACTTTGAAGTCGTTCTCTTTAATTTTTTGTGCTGTGTTTTGTATTTTACAGTTGTTTTTGGAAGCTTTGAAGCTACTTTATTCCTTCCCTTTTAAAGTTATCGGCTTTTGCGGCATTATATCTGAAAATAGTATAGAGTTAGAATGTGTTCTGTTTATGAATATTGAGTTGTGTACCTTTAAATTATCATTACGGTATCGCTTTTTTTTAAGTATTTAGGCAGTAAAGGGTTTATACAGTTGCTTATTTGACTGCTTGTAGTCGTTCTGAAATGAAAGTGAGGTCATATCATTGGTTGTAAGATTTTTGTACTCCGTCCTCTTGAGATTAAGGAAACTTCTGTGTCTTAGAATGCAGGTGTACACTAATTTTCGATAATTTTTTGACTGTTATATGTATAGGTTTGAAAATTTTGGCATTCATCTTTTCTTCCTTTAGCGGTCTTATTACTATTTTTTTGTTATGGGCTTTGTGCTCTACTTTACTCTTTCTGCTTTTCCTTTTGCTTTTATCACTCTGCTTCTATAAAACATTTGGCAGTATTTTTTTTTTTGTCTTTTTTTTTTTAATTTTATTACCCATACAGTGGGGATTCATTTAGTTAGTTTCCAGTTTACTTTTTAAGTGGAGGTTTTAAATTACTGATTATCCTTGAATATGGCTTTTTATTTTCAAACACTGTCTGTGATGAGGTTCATTTTCATTTATTTCTGTGGTAGTTTGTTGTTCTGAAATGGCAGAATTAAGAATTCAGAGTAAATAAATGTAAACACTTCGACAGTGCGGGTTCTGATGCTGTTTATCAAGGGAGCATAAAACTAATCAGGTTTTTGTGGATTTGCTGTCTGTATTTTGCTTCATGATTCTTTTATTTAAGGGCTCAGCATTGTGTTTTGAATCACTGATGCATTCAGCATTTATTGTAATTTTTCTGTTTTGGTTTTATGAAAATCATCTATTATTGATTTGTTTTTTGATGGGACGTTCACTGATATTATACACCTTGCTCGATTTCTTTTTTTACAATAAGTGAAAAAAGGCACCTTATTGCATTAAGGGTTCTGTAATAAAAACAGCTCTTCAAAACTTCTTCCTTTTTTCGTTACTTTTCCAGTCTCAGAGCCGTGAAGTGGCTCCAGGTCAAGAGGAGGGTAGTTTTCATACCTGCTATCGTTTATGGGGCTTCGCATTTCATTTCTATGGCAGTGATAGTTTGCGACTGCTGTGTACTCATAGGCTGGAATCTCTTTTTTCATGCGCTTCAGGTTTTTATTGGAATTACCATTGTTTTCTATTTTCAATTTTCCATTGATTTTTCCTCTGGTTAAGATGCGGAGCCAAGCCCTAGTGAAGAAAGTTAATGGTCCTAAAATGAAAAAAAATTTTTTCCCCATTCCCTGTAAGGGTGGAACTTAGAGTGATATTATTTCCTATCAAAGCCTCATTTCGCCTCTGCTGCTTCAAGTTCAGTATCACTCGAGTAAGTTGGATACATCGCGACTTTTAATAGCCAAAGTTAGTGATATCCATACTGATAGCCTGCCAGTTTTATAGAGAATCTTTTGTAGAATATTTGTTCACGCTTTATTATTT